CGAAAAACATCTCTCTTTACTCTCTCTTTACTCTCTCTTTACTCTCTCTGTCATTCTTCTCTTTACTCTCTCTTTACTCTCTCTTTACCCTCTCTTTACTCTCTCTTTACTCTCTCTTTACTCTCTCTTTACTCTCTCTGTCATTCTTTTTTTCTTCTTTCTCTGACTAATATTGCTCTTCTTTTTTTCTCTCCCTAATTATCTTGCTAATTAGTAAAATTATTATTGTTATAAAAGAAGCAATTGCGAGTTGCTTATACAGGAATTTTCTTAATTATATTACACAGCACACGAAAGTATATATATATATATATATATATATATATATATATATATATATATATATATATAAAAGTGAACATAGAAGTCAACACTTAGAGGCAACAGTCTGTTTCATGCTATATGCAATCGTCAGGCCACATATGCTGTTATTTTTCTCAGCTATTTCTGATATTGAGCACTTAATCCCATAAATATAGCACACCTTAAGACTATATTTATATATATATATATATATATATATATATATATATATATATATATATATATATATATATATATATATATAAAATAATTTATATACACTTTAAAACAAAGCACCTAAAATTATTAGAAAAAAACTTTGGTTGTTTTTTTTATATAATCGGATTAATTGAACAAATGTACAAAAAATATGCATATCTCTGTCACTTTCTCTCTCTCTGTCTCTCTCTCTCTCTCTATATATATATATATATATATATATAAAAATATATATATATATATATATATATAAGTATATATTATATATATAAGTATATATTATATATATATATATATATATATATATGTATATATATATATATATATATATATATATATATATATGCAAAAAATAATTATATATATACAATTTAATATACAAAATATATATATATATATATATATATATATATATATATAATTTTATTTATCTACGCTCACCCTGGTTGCTGCAGCAATAAGTTAAGTTCTTATTAGCAGAATTTTAATCTAAAATATTCATTGTATAGTGTTTGTTAAATATCCATCACTAAATTCAATCAAAGTATGAAATTGAATTGAATTGAACAATATTTTTAAATGGACAGTATTTGCCTTCGATTGGAAAAATACTTTCGTTTGCATTTTACCAGAAACTCTCTCTCTCTCACACACACACACACATACATACATATATATATATATATATATATATATATATATATATATATATATATATATATATATATTCCGTATAATTCTTGGAGAAAATATAAAAGGAATGGCAAGAATATCTCTCGATTTTTTTTTTTGTTTTGTGTATGCGCGTCTATGTGCCTGTGTTCTTCTTTCTGTGTGTGTGGAGGGGAATATTGCTTGAATTTTACATTTACCATTCTCAAATGTTTTTTTAGCAAAATGGAAATAAAGAAACTGATATCCGATTTTGAATAGGTTTAGAAAAAATATAGGAGCAGGGTAGACTTTGTCTTCGAACATCTTTTTCAGTCGAAAGAAAATATTGTCCTCTTAAAAATATTTAATTTTCTATTCAATCCCATCCCTTGCCAGTTGATTTAGTGATAGATGTTACACAAATAGACAGTCCATTATACATTGAATATTTTAGATCCAATTTCAGCTAAGAGAAAAGAAAGCCGGAGACAAACAGGAAAACCTAGAAAAGTACCCAAATTTGTACATGCCGACACTTTTTTTCGGTTTTCCTGTTTGTCTATTAATATTTTTCTAATACTTAAACTTATTTTTGTGTACGATACCAAAAAGTAAAAATTAGATAGATAGATAGATAGATAGATAGATAGATAGATAGATAGATAGAAATAAAGAGGTTGAGATAGAAAAAAGAAATTAATAGATAGAAATAAATTGTGAAGGAAAAAGAAAGGATATATATATATATATATATATATATATATATATATATATATAGATAGATAGATAGATAGATAGATAGATAGATGTGCATTTATCATTTATCCTGCATTGAATGCATTCCTCTAAAAGTTTGTTTTGATTTTACAATTGTTCCCAATTTCTACATGTTTGCCGCCCACAGATACTGTAAGAAAATACTTTTTAAAAATTGTATTTACATTATGAGATTGTTTATTGTAAACGTTCCTCTTATTTCATATCAATATTTTATTTGAAACATTGCTATCAATTGGCTTCCTATCAAAAGGGAAACATCGTCATTCACAATGTTATTTTTGCTACATTCTCTGGCATTTTTTTTTTTGCGGACATATTTTTCAATCGAAAGAAAATATTGTCAACTGAAAAATATTTATTTTTTTAATTCAATCACATTCTTGATCTAGTAATGAAGATTAAGTATATATACTGAACAATATAGAATGAATAATTTGGATAAAAAATTTTAATTTTTAATCGGTATTTTGTATAAATTTTGTTTTAAAATGTAATTTATTTAAAATTTCATTTTTTTTTATTGCTAAATGTTACAGTGTTTTTCTTCCTTTTTTTTTTACATAAAAACAGCTGTCAGCCATTCAGAATAATTTAAGCACCTTGGTTTATTCCAGAAATCATGAAATATTTACTGGTAATAATTGTTTGCATTTTATATTAAGCTAGTATACATATTATGAAAGTTCAAAATGCAATATCAAAGTATTATTATTATTATTATTTGAATTTTCCTCGTAATATGTAGCATTAATTCTTCTGAGGTCAAGTGACAACAAATTCCCTGCTGTAAGTTTTCTTACTGCAAAAAAAGCAAGAATTATGTCCGAGGCTGAATGGCTCAACTTAAAATAGAATTCTCATCTTTCTATTATTATTATTATTATTATTATTATTATTATTATTATTATTATCATCATTATTATTATCGCTGCTGCTGTTGTTTTTGGTGGTGGTAGTAGTGGGGTTGTCGTATTGGTGTCAACGTTTTATTGATACTTATATTCAGTAATTCTTAAGATCTGTTTCTCTTCATTACAAATAATGTTGATCTCCTGTCTCCCATACAATACACATTATTACGAATTTTAACCAAACTTACGATTTACTATATATTTGTGTGTTTGTGTGTGTGTTCGTATATATATATATATATATATATATATATATATATATATATATATATATATTCGAAAATTATAATTATCTTTATCAATTTCATTTGATCTAATGCTGTTTCTATACGCCCCCCCCTCTCGTTGGTGGTGTTGGTTACTGCTACTGCAAGGTCATTGTCGACGTTGAGACTAATGATTTTGGGGATCGTATATGTAATGATCGTTTTAATCAAAAGTCTTTTCGAGGAAAAGATGACTCTTTATCAGACATTGAACAGATTCTCTCGATGTCAATTAGCATTTTTATTTACTTTTTCGTAAATTAAGCGCAGTTTTTAAAATCACTTCTTTAGAATGTTTTTAAATTTAATATTTGAAAGCAGCCTCAATAATTTTCCCTACTGATTCAAATTAATGGCTTTGGCAGAAACCAAAGTATGGAATATTTCTAAATAATAATAATGATGTTATCTACACAATGTCCCGGATAACGACGATACTATTTAAATATAAGTATTTTGTGTTACGGTTCAAATTCATGAAGATAGCAAGAACGGAAATTACATTGAAAGAAGAATTAATTATTTGTTATTATTATGATTACTTCATCGATAACTTCATGAAATGTGATAAAAAGCATTTTCAATACAGTTAAATGTCCTTATTTGCGTAGAAAATTGAATGTACTCATGACTTTTCATAGAAGATAATTGACTAAAAAATAAAAAAGAAACCTGTGTTTAAATTCATATCTGTTAATAACAATTATAAAAGAAAAAGTCGATCAAAATACATCAGACTGATTCGTAATGAAAATGAACAGCGATCATGAAACAGATAAGGCAGGTTTTCCATAATTCTGCACAAACAAGTAATTTATAGATGTCAATTCTTAGTCATTTATAATCAGATTTAGAAGAAGAGAAATATCAAGAATTCATTTCTAGGTTTGATATGAATAAAATGGTGAAAATTAAAAAAAAATGAAATCGTTTCTTAAAATGATTTAATCTGATATTAACAACTTCAAAAACGAAAAGTTTATTTCAGAAATGCACTGAATTTAGTCAATGATCACTGTTTCGAAGCCAGATTCGATTAATTATTCAAGAATATATATGTATATATATATATATATATATATATATGTATGTGTGTGTGTGTGTGTGTGTGTGTTGTTGTTGTTGTTGTTGTAAATATATCCATATAAAACTTCATTTTCTTACTGCAAAAAGCAAGAATTGTATCCGAGGCTGATCATATCATTATATATACACAAAAACACGCACATAGGGAAGAGTCATGTGTAAATTTCTGAATTTGTGTATATTACATATTTCTAAATATTTTGATAGATCGAGACACACACACATATATATATATATGTACATATATGTACGTATATATATATATATATATATATATATATATATATATATATATATATATATAGATAGATAGATAGATAGATAGAACAACATTAAAGAAAGGTTCCCATTAAAACAGCTCTCAGCTTGTCTGCAGGTAATCGTGTATAACAAGATGGATCCTGACATATTTTCATGTTTATTCTTTGGTTTTCGTTGCGGTTGTTGTTGTCGCCAAAGAATAATTAAAATATTTCATTGCCATGTGTAAGACCAAATCTTCAGTACTTTTGTTGGGTCCGATAGTTTAGTGGGTGAGTGTGTCCAATATGGAGGGCAAGGAATCGGGTGCTGTGTCATTGTATTCTGCTTTAAGATCTATCATGCTGTCGCTTATCATATCGGGCATCTAGCGAGATAATCAGTGTTTGTTAACATATGTAAAATGTCTGATGTTCAATTCGTAGGAAGGAATGGATTTGTCAGATCTGCTTACCGTCTGTCCTAACAGATGTTTTACGAGGATGTTGTCAATAGCTACGGATAGTGTTGGTCATCTGCGTCAGCAGATGGATGACAATTGGAAGAAGAAGAAGAAGAAGAAGAAGAAGAAGAAGAAGAAGAAGAAGAAGAAGAAGAAATGAGCATAGGAAGAAAAAAGAATGAAGACGAAGAGTTGGTAGCGGAAGAGGTGGAAGATGAAGAAAAAGGATGGAAGAGGAGAAGGACGACGACGAACAGGGCGTTGTAGATGAATTGGAAGAAGAAGAAGAAGAAGAAGAAGAAGAAGAAGAAGAAGAAGAAGAAGAAGATAATGTGTACAACAATAAAAAGAAGGATGAAGACAAAAAAGACGAAGATAGTGAGAAGAAGAAGAAGAAGAAGTATAAGAAGATAAGGAAAAAGAGTTTGTAAAGTAGGAGGAGGAAAAGAAAAGAAAATGAAACCGTGGAGGAAGGTCACAAACAGGATGAGAGAAAGGAGGGATCGGAAGAAGAAGAAGAAAAAACAAAGTGAATTTTGTTATGTTTCTTTTTCTTTTTTTGAAAATCTCGACGTAGAAGGCAAATAGAAATAAATAAGCCATCTTTCTATTTACACTCTGGAATCAAGATGGCGCTATTTTACCTAATCTCCTTGTTCAGTTTCGATTTCGTTTTCCCTCTGGCGACACACACATGCAAACACAACAGCACACACATACGGGAACATACAAGGATGGACATGCGCAAACTCCATACAAATACGCAAAGATTCACGCACGCGTACACCCCACTAAACATACACATATTCAAATACATTTACATATATATATCGTACATATACAGTGTCATACAAACACACACGCATATCTTAAAAAAATCAGTGACACTCAGGCTGATTTTTGTCCGTGAACGGGATTCATAAATAAATAAATGGCTTGATACGGTTATAGCCTGGATTTTAATTAAATATTTCACTTTATAATTATTAATCTACATGAACTATGCCTTGTCAAGGAAGGATATTACGTCGTAATATAAATACGTTCTGAAAAATCAATGTTTTTAGCCTTATATGAGTGAATGTGCATCACTAGATACATCGGTGTAATTGCTAAAGAATTAATATATAATATTTTTTTAATCCTACATATTTTTATGACTGCTAGCTTTATTTTTAGTGGGCACCCGTATTTGAGATGATGCACTCTGATATTGAGCACTTTATCCCATAAATATAACACACCTTAAAACTATATTTCTATATATATATATATATATATATATATATATATATATATATAAAATGGAAAATTTGGTAGTACGTATGGATGATTTGAAAGAGGATATAAATCTAGAGAGAGCTCGACATAATAACAAAGCAAATTTATTTATTATTATTATTATCAAAACAGAAACATTTTAAATGACCATGGTAATATTTTATTTCATTAAGGCTGATGTTGAGTTTTTTAGCTGATTAGTTAAAAGGTCTCCGTTTTCATAATAATAATAATAATAATAATAATAATAATAATATATTCGAATTTTTTAATGAAGTACTTCATTTTTATTAATCCCACATATTTTTATCTCTTTAAACTTTAATTTTAGTAGATATATATATATATATGTGTCAGTGTGTGTGTGTGTATGTGTTTATGTCAGCAGCAATCGCTGATAGTTTGTTTCATGCTTCAAAGTAATCTACAACTTATATGTGTTGTGTACGCTCGACTATTTATATATGCTTGTCAATGGTTCACTATATGTGCTAAGGCATATCGTATTATCTGAAAGGACGATTACTGGATGAGCGGTAACCGTTATGTTTCAAATTATTCCAGCTAGACGATAATGAGTAGAAATAATCCGAATGAAGCTATTTGTTGACATTTTATGCATTATTTATTATTGATTACTTTATTATCTATTGTTGATTATTAGTAGTATTACTATTACATTTTCTTGTGTTCATTCGTCGTTTGTTTAATTTCTTTATAAATTTATTTAGATTTGTGTTTCTTTTCTTTTCATTATAACATTCAGGATAATACAATATATTTTACTACACATCATGCACCACTGACTAGCATATATAAATAGTCGAACTAAAACACAACATGCATGACCTGAAGATTTCGTCGAAGCTTAAAGCAGTCTGTTGCCACTTGGTGTTGACCTCAGTGTCCACATTTATATTTACATACGCTCTATCTCTGATATTAAGCACTTTTAACTATAATTATATCATACCTTAGAATTATATTTTTATCATGCACACACACACACGCACACACACACATCCACAGAAACACATAGATAGATAGATAGATAGATAGATAGATAGATAGATAGATAGATAGATAGATTGTATGTTTTCACTTTCGCGTGGTCAAGTGTGACGTCATGAGCTGCGGTGATGCGATTTTTGTTTCCAGCGTCTCATATGAACGATTTTGTCGTTGCTTGGAAATCTTCCATGTAAACATCAACAGACTATCATTATTGTTTTGTCCGTGTACTGCTTAATATATTGTAATGTAATTGTCATCTTTGATAATGGATTATGTAAGCCGAAAGTTTAGATAGCATTAAAAATATGTATCAGTAATGTGATTTTCTTTCTTCTTTCAATGATAATCCTATTATGCTTATGATATGAAAAGAGTTTACATAAAATAGACAAAACTTGTCTATACTATTCAATGAAACATGCATCAATACACACACACACACACACACACACATATATATATATATATATATATATATATATATATATATATATATATAGATTCAGCGATTATTCATCTGGTTTTGTTACCATTGAACAGTAGGAAATTGTTATTGTTATGTGAAAGTTAGTTATAGTTTAGAGACATGAACGCCCCCATCGAATAAATATATTTTATTTAAAAGAATAAGAATACGAGACTTACGAATGACATAATATGTAACAATGTCCACTATTTACATTATTCGGACTATTGTCCTCATTTTTTAATGTAAATAGTGTACATAATAACTCATCTTAGAAATATAGACAGTAATAATGCAATTTTAAACAATCAAATTTTGCATATATATGTGTGTGTGTATTTAATTTTAAACTTCTTTTTTAAACTTCTTTTTTATGGTATCATAAAGAAAAGAAAACTGAAAAGAAAAAAGTGTATGAACTAAATATATGTTGAAGACAATAAATTATTTTCAGACAATAAATTATGCAATCAGTTTTATTATATACCTAAAGCAAAACGATTAGTGCTTCGTTGTCCTTTTTGTTTACAAAGAAAGACAGTTAACAAACACAGTTCTCCAAACCAAATTGGAATCTATCAAACGTCACACATCTGCTTTATATATATATATATATATATATTTTTATATATAAAATATCATCAGACCTACAAATATATGTATGTGTATTTACGATTCCAATGAAATAAATTATAACCATGGAATATTATGCCTTTTTTATTATATACTCTGTTTTGAGTTCTACCTGGAATCTATCCTCTTGAATTTTTTATTAAAATATATATATATATGTATGTGTATGCATATTTATATACATATGTATGTGTATATTTATATATATATATATATATATATATATATATATATATATAGAGAGAGAGAGAGAGAGAGAGAAATACTAGATGCAATAATAGCCTGACGATTGCGTCTAGTATAAAACACCCTGTTGCCTCTAAGTGTTGACTTCAATGTTCACTTTTTTACACACACACACACATATATATATATATATATATATATATAGATAGATAGATAGATAGATAGATAGATAGATAGATAGATTCAGCTAATTACAAAATAGAAAAAAAAACAACTAAGTGATTTGTTTTTTTTCAACGATTAATAATATTATTTTTATATTGTGGAAAATGGAGGTCAGTAATACACATTTCTACGATTTTGTAGAAAAGCCTAAATGGTGTAAATACGAATTAAAACTCATACCTAATTTACATAATAAATTCCTGTACACACATGTACACACATACAATTCCTGTACACACATACATTCCAGCTAACGAATACCAAACTTTAAAAAAAAAAATATCTTGTAAATCCAAAACCTGATCTCCCACTGACAGAAGAAATTATAATACAACATTATTTCACTTCTGATAATATTTTTTATGAAGAGAAATCACCGGTTAGCTGTGCATTTAAGCTCGTCTTTCCGGAAACAGGTTCTTTCCGAAATATTTTTTCGTAAGCAATCAATATATTTCAGATCTATCGATAATGATTTGATAATATATCCACGATAATAGTATATAAACTAAACAACATTGAACATAAAATTGAATTTTCATATGAAACAAAAACTAACAGTATTTAAACGCTTCTTGGTAAAAAATATACAGATAATGAATTAAAAGCAGGAAAAAAAAAGAATGCATTATTGTGTCTTGGTAAAATTTCATTCATAATAATTTACAAGTAAATGTCTATTGAAAATTCACGAAGAAAAATTTCAAAACCCTTTATTCATATCACAAGAGCAAAATAAATTGCCGATAATTATAGATTTCTATATGATTATAGATTTCTATATGAAAACTCTTAGAATTTGAGACCGTCAATATTTATCTAATGACGTAAAATAGATTGAATATATTCCACAATTAAAGCATTCACAACACGAAGAGGAAAACTTTAAAAATCCACAAATGAGGGAAAGACAAATAAAATAGGTAGATAAAACTACCCAACAATTCGTTGCTGCTTAGAAAAGGATTTATCTGAATCTAATATAAAATGCGCTACAACTGCTTCAAAAAGAATAAGTTACATAATTAACAGAAAACAAAATGAAAACAACTTTAAATCTGAAACTGGAATTTAAGAAATAGATGTAAAAATTCTGAATAAATACATAGGTAAAGCTCATTGGAATTTCAATGAACATAAAATAGGTTCTTTGCAAAACAACGCATTCAGAACATTAGTCATTCATACTAAGAGTTCTGACCACGAGTTAAATTGTGGAATGAGTAGCCATGGTCAAATGCAAATGTCCAACAAACAGAACTTACAAAATTTGCAATAACAAGAAAAAGAAAAAGAAAAGAAATTAACAGGGCAAAAAATAGTATAAATCAAGCAGACAATATATTCAAGGAAAATTAACAGTAATAAGGCAAAGCAACAGTAATATGGCAAAAAGTTTACAAAGCACGTTCAGACAAATGAATGTAGCGTTCTAACTTCAAGACCGGACAGACCGGGACTGAATGAGATGAAACAGAGAAACGGTCTATTTTATTGGCTAGGAAAAAAATCCCAGCCACTACTTTTGTATTTCTAACCATAAAAGGGAAGAGATTTTATAATCATTGCCATGGATTGAAACTGACATAAATAAGGCACTTTTAACTAAAAATGATAATGTAATTTATTAAGACGAAAATTTATTGAAAGTAAACTAATTTAAGAGTGGAGATTAACCACCATGTACCCACTAAACAGACTCATTATTCCAAGATTGAAGGAAACGGTTAGATTTTTAGCAGGCTCCACAGTGATGAGCACGTTTTATCGATAGGTGAATATAAAGGAATAAATTGAGATGCAACTTATTTGAGACAAAGATGGTAAAGAATATTTCTTAACTCTGAATAGCCACCTGTGTAATTATGAAAACTATCAACACTACACAGGCACGGTGGAGTAATGGATAGCGGCTCGGATTGAGGGATCGGGGAGCCAGGTTCGAATTCCAATCGAATCCATTACAGTCACTTACGTGCTAATAGCCTTGGAAAAAATATGAATCCTCCTCTTCTCTCAGGAGAGACCGGGTTCTATAGCTATGGATGGCTATCGCAGAAAAAAATCTGCGGGAAAAAATCTCGTCAGTCATGTATCGAAAGATACATAATCGCCTAAGCGTTATCATGTATGGCACATAACTGACTGCTCAACACTATGTCGTAGGAATTACATATATCTTTATCAGTCTCTATTTCCTTCTTTATATATATATGTGTGTGTGTGATATTTGAGGCAAATATTATTAATTTTAATAATCGACATTTTCAAATTACAAATAATCCTTCTCACTCGAGGGATTATCCGAAGTTCATTTCTGAAGAAACGTACAAGAAATATTGTCCAAGATTTCAACTTTCTTGGTCATCATTAAGGTGGGTAGGTACAATTTGTGAGTTTCATCGAAATAGTGATGTTGTATCGTAGACAAAGTGTGTTGTGACCTAAGCGATTTGTGACACGTGTTTTATATATATATATATATATATATATATATATATATATATATATAATATATAAACATTGGAGAATGCTATAAATAAATTAAAAAAATTGTAAGTTAGAGCCTGCATCTCAAAATATATAAAATCACACATCACCATTCTCTTTGGCTACGTCACAACAATTACTATTTCTACCAAACTCACCAATTACATCAAAGTATAAAAGCAACACTTTATAACTGACAGTGTGACGCAGTCTACCTTCTTGAGAAATTTATAAATACTGGATCAGAGTTTAGTACGTGTGCCATCTGCCTAAGGTGATTTTTTTGTTTTCAGTATTTCGTCTCAGAATCGGCTTGTAGCAAATCGGGCTTTGCAGAATAAAATCATATCGGGGCCGAGGTTTGGTACTTCTATAGAGGATTCAGATTGTTTTGTAGCCAACATTTCTAATTAGGTTCAGAATGCAACTGCTCTTGATCAGTCTGTTTATGAAATCGACGAAGCTTCATATCATTATCTCAGTGATGGAAAGTTAAAATATCGGATCTATCTATCTGTCTCTGTCTTTTAATAATCTATCTATCACACTCTGTTCATTATCTATCTATCTATCTATCTACCACACTCTATTCATAATCTATCTATCTATCACACTCTCTTCATAATTTATCTATCTATCTATCTATCTATCTATCTATCTATCTATCTACATATATGTATGTATAATTTATTTTAGGATATCACCTAAAAAATGTAAAAAAAAAACGCTGCACAATTGAAGTCGTGTTTCGATGCGAATCAACGCATCTCATCAGGCAATTGTAAACCGCCTGATGAGAAGCATTGATTCGCATCGAAACACGACTTCAATTGTGTATTTTTTTTTTTTTTCACATGTTTGTTGATGCGATATCCTAAAATAAAGAATATTGCTCTATTTTGTATTGAGCTCTCTTTTAAATTAAATGTTAAGAACGTTGGAATTGTAATCTATTAGAAATAATTTCTTATTTAACAGTTAAAATATTTCATATTCGATGTATAGCCGAAAGTGCTCGGAATAAAAAGACATTCAAACAGTTTTTATAGAATTTATTATCTGAAAAGAAAAAAATATATTAGGACGCATGAGAAATTGTATAAAAAAACATAATCAAGGCACATTGTCTGGCGTATTCAATGAAATAAATACACACACACACAACACACACACACACACACACATATATATATATATATATATATATATATTGATAGAAAAATATATGAAAAAAATTTTTTTCTAAGTTCTTTATGTGTCAAACGAGTTCTCTGTGTTCAGAT